CTGAATTTAATTCGTTTTAACCAACACGTGATATACTTGTTTTCATCTTTTCGGCAATCTATAGGCTATCAACTCTCGTATGTGGTCTATTTTCAGATCGTTTTCAATGCATTTGTTGTAACAGGTATGCAGTTTTTTGGTGGTGCAGTATTAGAATATTCCAGTTACCTCAATGCAGTCATGTCTCAATTCAAATTCTTGTTGGGAGAAGCAGTCCCAGTGGACGCTCTTCGAAGGGACAAACCCTTCATTGGTCCGACGTTTGCATTTTTGTTTTGCACATCCTCAACTATATTTCTTATGAATATGCTTGTTTCCGTCCTTAACGAATCATATAGTGACGCAAAAACAAACGCAGAGGAAAATGCAAAAGAGCTTGAAATGGCACGTTTTATTGAGGAGCGTTTAATGGACATTTTCCACGAGGGAAGTAATCGGACTGAGTTTAAGTTGTTTTGCGATGAGACAATATTCGCCAACATGTGCCTTTCTGAAGCAGAGCCATTCTGTTTGAATTCTGAATGTATTATTCAAGGTACAGAGGAACGAATGCTAAAAGTTGAAAATAGACTTATTGCTCTAACTCGACGAACAGAATACATTGAGGCTGATTATTTGAAAGAGGAAAATGACTTAATTGACCTCTTGTTACTAATGATAATTCCTCTGGTGCGTGATTCGGAAAAGAAATCAAAAGATCATTTCTAAATGCAGAGATGCCTTAATTTATAGATTGCCTTAGTCTTCGTTTGTTGAAGCATAGATATAATTGAAAGTTTTTTTACGTTATTGTATCTTATAAGTAAGGCTTGAGGGAATATTTGCAACACAAAAATTATCAAAATAATATACGAGGTTTCTTCATCGTCAGATGTCATTGTCAATTAGATGTGTAGCTTAGTTTTTGCATCATAAAAGGATCTACAGTTATGCGCACAAGATGGAAAAGTACTTTAAGTGACAAAACATGTTACTATAATGAAAACAAGTTCATTAAACAAACAGGTATGCTTTGATATAGTATTGACTACTGGTTTAAGATGTCCGACAGTCAAGTTTACTCCTGTATAGGGTTGAGATGTTAAAATGGTCTTTGAGGTTCATTGGTTCCATACTGTGCTCCTTCTTGATGCGGTTTCCGATTTCAGTCAAGCTTTGAAGTTTGGTATCACGTTATTGCCAGCTTCAAGGCGGGTGATGCCCTTCTTCAAGCGAAACGCCAAACAACCAGGTTTTCGCAAAGTCAATTGGTCCCTTTCCCCCATAAGCATATCTTGGTACTCAACTAACCTCTAGCTATAGAGTGTTGGCCCAATGGCAGAGGTTTGACAAGGCACAAGCCTGACTATCAATCGTGCAATACAAGATATCAACCACGGTCATTACGAGAAGCTACTACCAGCTTCAGAGAAAAATGCTGATTGAGGATCACTTTATTAAGAAACGTGTCCACTCCACTTGCAGAAAATTGTTAATCCCATTTATAAACACTTTGCTCATGAAGGTAATTTAAAGGTCGTGTGATGTCTAATAAACATCGTTTTCACTAATTCCTTGACGATAATATATTAAAGCATGAAATAAGAGGTGTTTTGTTTTCACAGTAGCAACAAGCGTTAAGAAAATTGTTGACACATTGACCTTGTCAACCCTCTATAAATTCAATTTTAAGTTAACGTATTCGCCCCACAACCCCCTCCCCCAGCTCCAAAAAAATAAAACAAAACGAAAACAAAAAACAATAAAACACAAAGCAAAAGAATGATTATCGTGATTCCATGAACCTTTAACTACATAAAGGCAACATTGAATTACAGCCCCCTTCAGCCCTGGCTTCAAAAGAGTTTCTTCAAGGGGAATTTAGGGACCATTCTGGGGGGTGGGTAGGATAGAGGGAAGAATTGAAGAGGCTGGAACCTTGGGATGATGTACTCACAACTTACAAAGCGATCAACACGCATACTAGTCAGCGGTATCTGCAAGCAGCTGAGGACCTTAGTTATAGTTCCTAATGTTTTGAGCAAATTCTTGCTAAAGTGTAGGATGTTTGCATGAGTTTAAATTATATTTTATTGAGCGTGACTGATAATTTCGGTTTGGGAAAATGAGCCAAAATTGAAAGAAGCGACTGTAAACTAAATAGCGTTTAGA